TTATAGAGTTGTTCCTTTCTTCGATTTAATAACATATATAATAACATATATATTCACAATTTTTTCTTTTAAGATTTTTCTTGAATATCTCAGCTCATCTGAACTACAAATCGATAAATTGACTGTGTTCAGTCACATTATAGATTTAATCGTAATCGAAAACTATAAAAGCTAGAAATTCCGCCCCGTAAGCAAATTCTTCTAATAAAGCGAATAACCTTACATTTTATACACTTTTACTAAAAATGAAGATATTAAGAAAAATGGAAAATGACATAAGCCTCATTTAAAATCGAGCGCATTTGTTAAAGAATTTATTTAACTTTGAATCGTGTGAATGCAGTGAAAGAGTAATTCCTAGGCAATTCTTTTCCATTTAGAGCATACTTCCTTATATACAATTCGCATCAGCTAGACAACCTGGCAGCCCGGCAGGCCCAGCTGTGCCGGCCAGATGGTTGTACAACTCATTTCGGGGCAGACCACCTGATGCCACCACCGAAGGCGTGCACGGGCAGCGCTAATGCACCACCTACAGCTACTGGCACAAGAAAGAACTAAACAAATGGGAGACAATGCACAGTTATATTAGGAACTGTGCAAAATCGAAACGAAATAGAGAAATAGAGAATTAGAGCATGCGGCGTGCGGGCTAGACGCCTGCTAAGCAGTTCATTTGTTCGCAGATTAGACGGCGATGCGGCAGGACAAAGCTAAACAGAGTCGTATGGCTTTCTATAGAGAAAGAGAGAGAGAGAGATAGAGATAGAGTGAGAGTGAGAGAGGTAGATCAACTGCACTGCAAAAGCCTACACGCACCGTGAGAAAGCAACAGGTGTGGTCGAGTCTCTTGACCAAATGCTAAGCCCGGCCAGGTCGCTTATCTGGCATAGTTTATCGGGCACCTGCTTGACCAGCAAATTGCCCAGGCAAATAAACCCATTCGGCGTGGTAAATATGCTCGTGTCATCAGAAATCACGATCACAACGCTATGAGACAGCCGTTGGCCAAAGGCAAACAAATTCAGGTGCTAAACGTGTTGTGCGTGTTCAAATGACATTTCATTTATCTTTCATGTGGTCAGCTCAGTCAGCTCAGGCAGTCGACCCACGGGTCGAGCTTCTATTTGCTCATAGTTCAGGTATTTATTTACCAACAGCTTGGCAAACGCTTAACAAGTGTCTGCGGTTGCTGTTTGTTTGTATTTGCATTTAGTCAGGCTCGATGACAAGATAATAAGAGAATATATATAAGAGATAGTACGAAAGAAAATATATATACAGTTTATATTTGGTGTTTCAACTGGTTATCACAAGGGTTATCCTGTGCGGTTGCCTAATTTTTCGAAAATTTATATTTTATTATATTTTCGTGAGATAAGTAAAATTGATTTTTAAAATAAATTTCTTTGGGATGTGCCTAAAATCCCGTAGTATTTATTTATATATCTATTTATATAGCTAGTTAATTTTAGTCGGTTTCAAACAGATCTTTTTACTTTTTTCAATAATTAATAGAGAATTTTGTATATTAATTTAATTAATTAATTAATCAATTAATCAGTTCCCCAATTCTCTACACAACACCTCTATTTTTCCATATTCCATGCATTAATTACAGCTCAATCTAAGGTATTATATTAGAAATCTATAGATGGAGTTCCAATATCTCTATTCTAACATATCCCATACATTAAATACAGCACTATCTAATATCTCACTCCCCACAGCAAAACAGCAAAGGCTCTTGAGCGCATCGTATTGGAAAACTTCAAGAGCTACTCGAGCTAAGAGTATTTCCATCAAATCTCGACTCTCTCGCATAGTTGGGCCAAATGAATCACTCGCTGCGCTACGCTTCAGCGTCCAATTTGCAGCGCAGGGCACATGCCAATACAAAAACTCAATTGCTGGCTGCAGGTCGACTTACCTACTGGATCAAACGCTAAATCCTCAAACAAAGGACAACATGGCAAAAAATAAAAATAAATAAAAAAAAGGAAAAGAGAATAGAATGAAAAAGTATTATAGACAAATGTGGGCATACTTTTGCCTTTGGCACAAGGACAGGTGATGAGCGTCTCTCCAGATTCCTCGTCTCACATCTCGTTTTGTGTTTTCGTCGAATGCCACACAGGACTCGAAAGTCAGGTCTGGAACCTGTGCCTAGGATGTGCTGATGCCTATCGCTATTATTCGCAAAAAATAAGAAGCAGAACAAAAAGATGTGCACACAAAAGCGGGCGGCCAGACAGCTGACACATCTGAAGAGCTGAAGAAGCTATTAGAAAACCAGAGGCAGGGCTAAGGAGAGAGAGAGAGGGCGAGAGGGAGAAGATAGGAATGCCAACCAGCTGCCTGGCCATGGCTTAGGATATTCACCGTCCTTTTTATTTTTTTTTTTTTTTTGGCAAGGTGCCGGGATTGCGTCATGTACAGTGCGCCCTCGGCAAGGTGGTCTGCTATGACTCTCAGTTTAGAGCGAACTGTCAACATAAATCTCGCTTATATATCTTTTGTCATAATTCAAAATCTCCAGATCTCGCTGGCATCGCTTAATATTTCGTTTTTAATTGATTGGGAGCGGAAGTGGCTGAGCATCGCTTCATAATGCCCTAGACCTATTATTAATTGTCATAAATCTTGATAAAGCAAAGATCGTACGAAATGAGTTCAAGCTGCAAACGAGGCTTAAACCCTTCATTAGGCGAGACTTTGATTTGGTGAACTGTTTCTCGTTTATGATTTTCGTCAAATTACATAATGATGGCCAGCCTACAGACACAGGCTTGAGTCCTTGCCACGCCTTGCACACATACACAGACACACACACACACACGCATAGAGGCCGCACCTTTTGTGTGTGGGTGTGGCAGTCCAAATAAAGGCAATCCTTTTTATGGCCGCCGCGGTCCACTTGACAGTTTAGCCAAAAATGCAAACCGTTGAAATTAAGTTAAATAGTTTCTTGTTAAAGCAAACCCTTTTCTCGAGTACCGTTTCTTTTCGGCTGGCTCTCTGTTGCAAGCGCGCACCTGCCAAATGATTAATCATTTTGTGGCCCCGAACTCGTCTGCCTTTAACACCTTTACCCTCTCTACCTCCCGCACTCACTCCCTCTCACGCTCTTTCTCTCTTTCTCTGTTAGTTGCACCCGTCGCCTCTTCAATCCGTCGTTGAGTTTTCTTTGACTCTTTCTCTTATTCTTCTTCTTCACATTTTTTCCCTTTTTGTTAAATGCTAAAAGCTCATCAATTATACGGCATACATCTGTCTTTTTAGGGGCTTGTTGCACCGCCGCTGCGAGGCGCCAAAGGTCGCGCTTTTCTCTTTTCATTTTGGATGCTAAGTCTCTAATCATGTCCATCAATTTGATGACTGCACATACTCGTATATGGGCTCACCTCCACATGCGTCTACGTGGAATGAAATCGCCTCACTCGCTGGGCGATCCAATGCTATTTATTTACTTTGTGGGCGGTCGCAGCGTGAATTCTTTTAATGCTTTACTCTAATTTAATCTTAATTACGCATTTTATATTATTTTAATTACAATTTCTATGGTATATTGCCTTGATTATGGACTGGCATTGTTGTAATCTTTCAGTATTGGCTTGACTCTGGAAGTGATTAACACGTAAAACTGTACAGAACTTCTTTGATTTATACATTTTTCTATCTATACGAATAGGGTTTTAAGGTTGTGTCAAGAATTTGTAATGGTGATAAGCTGAGTGGGCTCTTTGAAAGCCATAAACTGGAGCATAGAGTAATATTCCTTGATAATCCTTTTTTATTTCCCGAATCTAATTGCTTTAATTCTGATAATTTTAAGATTTTGCCTTAAGATGTTTCCATCATTACATTAATTGAACTAAGATCTTAATTGTATATATAAATAAATATTTGTATGTATATATATAAATTTTTGAGACTAAATCCCATGAAATGAAACAGTTTTTATAAGTATTTAACTATTATAAATTCAGTTGTAATCTTCATTTTGCTGTTCCTTTAATAATCCGTATAGTCTTTCATTCCTTTAGAATTTGATTTACTTACAAAACGCATTCTTTCATTTCATAGGTATATTTAATAACACATTTCACTCTAAATATTTCAGATTTTATTGTTACTTCATTTTACATTTTCTTAATATTGAATAATATTTCAAGCAAGCAATTTTTATATATTCCAATATGCAAATACAATGCTGTAACTATTCAAAAAAAATTTCCTGATATGATTCCATGGCAATTTAATTGATTTTCATTCAAAATTTCTGGCATAATTTCTCTTCTGGCAATCTCTCAACACGCCATGGACCTACGCATTGTCATATGCAGACACGACTCATAAATCCAAAGAGAGAGAGAAGAGACAAACGCGATGCACTTTAGGCGCACGCGCAGATGTTTTTACAGGATTTTTCATTAGTGTCAGCACTCGTTGCATGCAGCTCAAGCGCATTTGAATAAATAAGTGTGCATGTGCGTGTGCGAGTGTGTGTGTGTGTATACACCAAAGAAAACATGTCAGGTCCCAAAAATAATTGAAAAGAAAGAAGGAATGAGCGCGCGCGCGTCTATAAATCAACGCGGCAGGATAATGCATCCACGAGTGTTGAGCACTAATTTTGGCTCGTTGCGGCATCTGTCCAGGAGCTAAAGCGGCAGCAGCAGCAGCAGCAATAACAATGCGGCCTCCATTGAACACATCGAGTGGCTTCTTCGCTTGAATGCAATGCGAGAAATGAAGATCCCTTACAAAACAGAGACGGAGCGCGTAATATGAGGCTGCCTGGCTAGCGCACCTGGCCGTGATTTGGAAACAGAGCTGAGCACGGCTGAACTACTTAGAGGCAGACGTGGAACAGGTTGACGACGCACGAAGCGAGCCAACAAACCAGCTTCATAGCGGTCACAGCTGAGTAAAACAAAAAACTAACAGCAAAAATTATAATATTAAAATTTTATTACATTAAACAACAACGGCAACAACAACATCGACAACAACTACAGCAACTGAGTTGTTGTGCCTCCCTTTTTGGAGACGACACAAATCAGATCAACCGTTGCCTGAACCGTGATGAACCTGCCGCGCAGCTAGCCAGCTCTGGTCCCGTTGTGTGTGCTCTGCGCGGTCTGATGTTGCAACAGTGCCACAGTCCACAAGCGGTAAGTGCCCCAACCATTAAACTTCCAGCTGGTGGCACGAGCTTAATGTTGTCGTTATACATTTTACAGGTTGACGACACACGAACCAGCGCGATTCACAGTTTGCAGCTTCAGCAACGTCAGCAGCGTCAGCTCTCCGTCTGGAGGGGAGAGTCGTGGACAGTCGCGCTCCCTTGTCCATGTGGGGGGCGTGCATCCAACACACATATATCCGTGCAACCACAGGCCATGCACGCCGCCGGCGGCGTGTTGCACTTTTGGTTTTCTTCTCTTTTTTTTTTTTACTTGCCTTAAACATTTAGCTCATTGAAAATGACTTACAGGGTATATTAGTTCTTTCGAATGTGTCACATACGTACAGGAGTAGTTCGAATGCATTAGTCATTAGCATTTATTAAGAGAATTATCTATTTTCGTGTCTGTCCTTAAGTCAGCAAAGTAGAAGACCTGTGTGTCCTCATATCACACTGATCCTGGGAGACGTAGGAGCTAGAAAATATATGTGGGAATGTTTTAGTGGCAATGTTTTTCAAGATTTTTTGCCTTATTTTTAATATTTATTATTTTTTCTCATTTGTATTTGTTAATATGCTTTAATGCTTTATATCGATATAAAATATTTACCACTTGAATTCTCATTTTCTTCAAAAATTTTTCAAATATTTTTTAAGATATTCACATAACGCGTTCTTATGTGTGCATATTTTTATATTTATAAATTTTTTGATTTATACCAGGTTTTGCATGCAGTTTTTAAAATTTTAAATGTTAGCAATACGATATTCGCTTCTTGAATTCCCGAAGATTATAATAGAGAAGCTCTATGTGCCAGTATGCTTCGTTTATCTCGGGAACCATAGGTCAGAGAGCATCACTGTTATGCTTTTTCGTAACATATCCTTAATATTGACATTAATCTATATATGATTGACTATATCAAACATCACGTTACGATCAAGTACCATACTTAAAGTACTAAAGCATATTTACATATCATCATGATATACCTATTCAAGACAGTGAAATCATTATCATAAGATTTGTGCTAAACAAAGACCTCTCGTAGAGCTCTTAGAGCTTGAGAAGCTTACGAATATTACTCTTATTTTCATATTGAAAAAATTTCATTCATTTAGATTCACTTCACACTTTTAAAAATATTATAACTCAAATTTAAAATATAAACTCTTCTCTCATCCGCTGCAGGGTATCTCCCAGTCAATCAGTCCCTACTGGAAATACCTTTACTTGTTACTTATATTCAGTCGTCTGACTTCAGTCATCGGTTGGGGGCACAGTGCCCGACTGCAGCCTAACAGCTATTAAGTTTGCCCGCTTTGCCCACTTTGCATATGATTTTTGTTGTCGTTGTTGTTTTATGTGTGGTTTTTGTTTTTGTTTTTTTTTTTTTTCGTAGCCCTGGGGGTCAGCGTGGGGCGCAGGCACACGCGGGTTATCGTCCGGTTTATGGTGCCATCGAGGAACGCGCGTCATGTTTATAAAGAAATTCTCTGCTGCTCACATAATACGAGTAATTTTCTTTTGGCAACGTGTCGTCAATGGGCATCCATCGATGCCTGGCGGCGACTCCGAATGGGAGCTGCTTTGGCCAAGTACCAAGCACTACACCATGTGGTTCGTTCGCTTTGTCTTTAATGTTTTTATAAAGTGTTTGCTACTTGTTGTGATGCGAAGTTTTCTGACCTTTTGTTTTGCTATAATATACGATTATAATAAGTATAAAATGTATGTATTTTATGTATATAGGATTATTTCGATTAATGGGTTCCTTGAGATTTGGTAAATACATATAAACAAAGCTTTTGAAATATTATTGAAAAACGTTGATATTTTTGTGATCCTTTAATATAGCTTTAGGACATTTTTGGTAGTTTAATCATGATAATATAAAATTCGGTTAGCAGTAGAACGTTTCGTTCGTTTAGCGTTTTGATCATTTTCGATAATTTCGTCGGTGGATAATTTATAGTTCATGGGTATTTTTTTATAAATTTTATACGATTCTTTTTCCTTTTCTAGTTTCATCACTGAAGCTTCAGGAATTGCGAAATTTGATTTTCAGAAAGTTTGCAGAATTTTCTTAACAAAGCCCTGAAGTTAATGTCAGGCAATAGATAAAAGACTACGACGCAATAAATAATTGATGTTCTCACATAAAAATTAAGTAACAATATTAATAAAAAACAGTAATCTATTTGTCATTCTAAAATTCTTCTATTTCTGTTTGCTGCTCAGTTAGGATCGCTCAATTGTTATCGTATTCCTGTTACCAATTTGCTGGAAACAATGCTCAATTTCAATGTTTCCCAGAAGCAAACGGAAATGCGATGCTGTAAAAATAAATTAGAAGTGGAAGTAGCAACAATAATATTGTAGGTGTTTTGTCAATTGTCTCCGTTTGGCAAGGCGTGTCATTTTCACTTCCTGCTGCTCAAAAAGAAAAACGAGACACACGTCAACCTGTCTCTCTCTATGTGTGGGTGTGTGTGTTTTTGTGTGTATTGCAGGTGCAGATCAGGTGCATTTTTGTTTCACTTTTTTTTGCTCGTCTCACATCGAAGTTAATAGCTAAGCAATGCAAACTGTAATTGAAACATTACCATCGCCTGTCAGCCGTTTCCATAAGCAAAATGAATCGTTTCCTTTCATATTTAAATCGGAGCAGGCCTGCAAGCAGCATATCAAGCTAACTTTTTCAAATGCCACCACGCCCACTTAAGTGGCGGCTGAAAACCAGTAGCCGCAGCCGCAGTCGCATGCAACTGCCACCGAGGGCAAACGTTGCCTGCAATCAAAATCTTCAGCCACCGCCGTCGCCGTTGCCGTTGCCGCCACCGCCGCCACTTTCACACGTCCACATCATCCACATCCATATCCACAACCACATGCACAACGTCATCATCATCGTCATAATAATAATCAACATTTAAGCTAACAACGTCAGCCTGCATTCGCAATAAACGTTTCACGTCAAAGATTGATCATTGCGGCCAGCCCAGGCTGTGGCTCAGACTCATCCATTTCGCCCAATCAGCCACACCCACAAGATGCAACACTGCAGTTAAAAGCCCTCACAGCGCTGCAGCTCCACCCGCCCCGCCTTCCCTGCATTAAAATGGCTTAAAAGTTGGGCAGAGGTGGCAAGAACAATAACCAGTAGGAGCGTACTGATTTCAGAGTACTTGAACCTCAGATATCCTGTAGAAAAGTATTTAATTTAATGTTAATGTTTAATATTTAATTTAATGTTGAAGCAAAGCAGAATTAATAAAAGTTAAAGTATATTTAATAATTTTTTTTT